ACACACACACACACACACACACACACACACACACACACACACACACAAACACACACACATCAAAATACTTAATGTGAGCATTACTGCGTTCCGGTTTTGAAGGATAAGGGTGCTGGTGAAATTACTGGCTCATGGGATTTGTCAACTTATGTCTTAGGGTGACGGTCGCGGTGGCGATGCCCCGCAGATCTTTGTGATTTAAAGCTGTGAATGGCACTGCAAATGTTATGGAGAGGCGTGTCTTTTACTACCAGGCGCACGACTTATTCATCCTATCACTTGAAATCGTAAAAAAATCTAAAACAGAGCAATTTTTAAATGAAATAAAAATATTTGCTCGTATTATGCTTACGATAACGGGCTTAACATAAAAGTTCTTAAAAATAATATTAAAATATATTAAAATATTTGAACATATCGAGATCTTAGGTTTTCACGACACAGGAAATTGAAGTATTTTTTTGGATCTAAATCTAATATTTGTTTTTTTAAACAAACCAACTTTTCGTGCCCTTTACAGGTCCCATGGCCACGGCTGACCATGACAATCAGATCCGAAAAAATCCCTTTTTTTATTTTATTTATTGTGAAGTTCATTATAGATTTATTTTTACAATATACTAGTACTACTACTAGTAATATTTAATAAACTAAATATAACTAAGTCGAAGAACAATATTTAGAAAAAATATATACAGAAAACATATTTAAGTTTACGTAGTTCTAGAGTAACACTCGTTAATGTCCTTTGTATGATCATTATTAAAAAGACGATTCACTTCGAGTGTTGTGTTCCTAATATTATAATTTTTCGTTTATTTTTTAACTTATTTGGGTTTTTAACGTATTTTTTACAATAAATATGTAATGATCGCCCCACTAATACCGTTGCATTAAACAGAGAAGTGGCGATGCACATCAAGAATAGACAGCTAAAGAAAAAATAATTAAAAATCGTTACTTACAATTCAAACTAATAAAACATTTGATACAAAAAAAATACTGCTTTACTGCATTATTGGACAAATAATTTTTCATACTAACTGCGCTTTTTCGCCCTCCCTCCGCATAAAATTAATAAAATAAATAACACCAGCGCAACTACAGTCACACCTCTGGGATTGTTGATTGTTCGACGCGAAGACATTCTTTGGCCGGAGAAATTCAACACAAGCGCATCTATTTTGTAAACCTCCACTGGGTTTGCGGAGTAACAAAGTAATTAACTATCATTTTTATTAAATAATTAGAATTAAATAATTGCATCCTTGACTAAAATATTAAGGTGTATTTAACAAAATTTTAATTTTGCTATCAATATCGTATAATGTTACTGTGTTTTATTACACGGTTGAATAATAAACAAACAATGGGTTTTGACTTTTCTCCCATTATCTCAAAGTGGTATTTATTTTAGTAGCTATAGAGCTCCTTTTAAGAGACTTCATCCAGGGAAGTACTGCCACCTTACCTATTTCTGTCGCTAAGCAAGTAATGTGAGCATTACTGCGTTCTAGTTTTGAAGGGTAGGAATGCTGGTGAAATTACAGGCACTTGGGCTTTATCAACTTATGTGTCAGGGTGGCAGGCGCAGTGGCAGTACCCAGATCTTTGCGATTTAAGGCTGGCCTGCAACTATTATGGACAGGATTAAGAGTCGATATTACCTCAGCTCGAATTCAATTTTTCCTCGAGCCAATACGCTTTATTTTGTTCGGGTCGATCGGCAGGGACACTGACTTTATATAAGAATTTATTTATTTACAAACGAAACTAAGGCCATTTGAAAGAATGTGTGTTGTATACTATACATGTTCTATTTAGTTCAGTTGATATAAAAATAAATCATTGGTGTACCTATAGAATAGCGGACGGTGCCACACGCCTGTACCTATAGAACAGCGGTTTTCTTGTAAAATTTCGAGGTAGGTAAGTTTGTGTTTTTTTTCTACAGTGAAAATTTTTAGGATTCGTGTTTTCTTACCGTATAATCAGTGTATATCCTCAATTGTACTACATAATTTTTCCAACGTGATTGTTTCGATATTTTCACCGTTATACGGGATCAACCAAAGCCATTTGAGGTTGCATAGACTCTTAACAGCAGGCGCACGACTTATTCGTTCCGTCACTTGGAATCATAAAAAAGTGGTTTTACGCTAAGTGGTTCACTGGCAACCGGTATGATTCGTTAAATGAATAATCACGACAGCCTCAAAATCATTGTATCACAGTCAGTGTTACTATGGTTATGTAATAGGAAGTGTAGTCTAAGGCTTTATTCACAGTGGCGGCGGGCGTGGGTGCATTAAAATTAAATTTACGTAGACGCTCATTGCGTTCACAGCGGCCGCGCACGCCGACGCCTGTGTCGAGGAGGACGCGGGCGCGGCGGCCCGTGTGTCGCGCGGGTGGACTTATTGGTTCAGTCCTCCCCTCGGATCAACCGAGGTCCCCCCGTACCATTCACAGTGGTCTAGCTTCTGCAAAGCGACTAAAACCATTGCATCCACACGTCGGAGTTGCAAACAGACGCTAGACGCTAGACCAAGCACTGCGAATGGTACGCACGGACTGAGCTAATAGATCCACCCGCGATATGAACAAGTCGCAGACGCGTGCGCGGCCACTGTGAACGCAACGAGCGTCTACGTGCATTTGATTTACACGCACCCGCGTCCACTTTGAATATGGCCTTAGTCGCTTCGGCTCTGTGAAAGGGAAGACGTCAAGAACCGCCACTGCCCTCGCGCCTGCACTCTGAATGATCCCTAATAACTTGGTTAGGACCATGAACAAAGGGGACCACTTTCACTATGATGCGAAACAACTTCTCTCTTCAATGCCGAAAGCACGACATTGATTTTAGAAATCAGTACTAACGACTGGTGTCGTTAGTCGTGGAATGGTTTTCATGGTTTAAAAGTAAACTTTCAGCCATTGAACTGATAGGATTAAAGAAATTTAAAAGAAAAAAAATATTATGCACTTCTTGATGTATTTAACCCAGAGGTTGGAAAAAAGTAAAGGATTTAACCCAAACCGTGGAATATACTTAAAAATGTGGATAATTCTGCAGAATTCTCGTTGACTCAGTTATAGTTCGATATACAAACTTAATGAGTTCAAAATCGATGGCATAGATTTCAATTTTTTAATAACACAAATATAAAAAAAACATTACACGTGAAACTCGTCAACTTATGTCTCAAGGTGATAGGCGTAGTGGCAGCGTATATTTGCGATTTAAAGCTCTGAGTGGCGCTGCAACTGCTAAGGGCAGGTGTGTACCTTAACACCAGGCGCATAACTTGTTCGTCTCGTCACTCGGTGTCATAAAAATTTAAAAAAAAGTATGTATGAGTAAAGTAAACTTTTGGGTCTTCTTTTCATCTATTGATATCACAACAAAATTTTTGGTGAAATTACAGGCACATGAGACTTGTCAACTTAGGTCTCAGGTTGGCAGGCGTGTGGCAGTGCCGCTCAAATCTTTGCGATTCAAAGCTCTGAGTGACACTGCAACTGTTATGGACAGGCGTGTAGCTTACATTATGGCGCACGACTTGTTCCCCCATTAATTGATATTATAAGAAAAAAAATATCACATTAGTAAAATTTTTAGAGGTTACCAATCAAACCGGGAGTTACACCAAGTGGAGTACTTTTAAGATACTTTTGTGTTTTTTCCAGTCGTTTTTCCTAAAAGAGCTGTAGCTAGGACCTGTAAATTAACTACTGTAAACAAAAATTCTCAATAGCCCGTTAAAGCGAGTTGTCAATGGAACAATTCAACTACAATATAACAAAATAAACTTGTATTGGGATTAGCATTGCGATCCATCGTAATTTACTTAGGTTTAGTATGTCGATGAACTCCACGTGCTGAGTGCGTAAACTATAAGGCTTCCGACTACTTGTCACTGTTTTGTTTGTTACTAGTCTCTTTACCATTAGCCTGACTTAAAGATGTAATTAATAAGCCTATTAATTTCAATTCAATTCATTTAATATAAACACATCGGCACATTTAACGGAACACCAGTTAAATCCCGAAACTAATGCAGTGTTTTTCAAAATTCTGGTTATTTGACTATTTATTCTAGGGCTTATTAAAAAAAAAATTATTAGCGAGTTATTTTTACATTAATTTGTTTCAATTTCCTAATAATACATGTTCAATGGTTCGAGGGTGATTTTACGTTTTTGTCAATTTCGAAAACATAAACTTGAATAAGATTTTTTATTTGTTAAAGTTTCATTTAATCAGTGTTAAACTGATATATTTTTTAAATTTTCAGTTTTATCTGCTTTATAAGTATTATTATTAACAATAATCTATTTAATTAAAGTGCTACAATATCTAGTTAATCTAATTATAATACAGATTTGATCATTGTTGTTATTTTGGTCGTGCATTAGTCATTTAAACAGATGACGGCCTCCGTGATCCAGTGGCTTGCACACTGGTTTTAATGGTGTCGCCATCTCTGAGGTCCCGGGTTCGATCGATCGATTCGATTGTCTCGGGTCTGGGTGTTTGTGGAACTGTCGTTGTTTCCGATTTCCATAACACAAGTGCTTTAGCTACTTACTTTGGGATCAGAGCAACGTATGTAATGTTGTCTAATATTTATTTATTTATTTATATTTACCTTCCTTCTAAGCTAAGACGTGGTCCTTCACTTGGTAGACTAGTTAAAATAACCTTTGACCCATTGGAACATTAATTATAACACTTGTATGGATTGTACCATACACAGACACGTAATGTATATAAAAAAACATGAAATAATAGTAAACGGTATTTCTTAAGATAGACTGAACGGTCATACTATACGAAATAAATATACTTCAATTTACTATGGAATTTTTAACAAGATTTTTCTTCAGGTTGTTTTTTTAAATTTGAATTTCATCGTTACAGGTACGGATAACTAAGAACGGCAGTATTTATCATTAAAATTATACGACGTATCGGATTTTATTTTAAGTGACACATGTGAGATTGTGCAGTCTACTGTGGCCTATTATACTACATGTAGGAAATTATGTGACTCAAGTTTTCATGTACAAAGTTACACTTAAAAAACTGATCATAGTAGGCAATTTCCTCGCAACCTTTGTTCCTTAGCAATGTAGCGTCCATCACTGCCGATATGTAGATCCGAATAAATATATTTAGGTACCTAATTCGATAAACACTTGACATGCTGTTACCATCGTGCACAATGCCCTCCTGGCCCCAATGATAGCAATTACTTATTTATTACCTATATGATTAGTTATTTATTATAGATGATTACATAATTCTATTAACCAAGGAGCTGTTTGTTACTGATCGATTTGTGAAGAGTTTCATTAAAACGTCGTCGATTACATGGTTCTCACGATTGTGTTATGTTATGTAAAAATTAATTTCCATTTTAAAAAATTGACTACTGATGCAGTCAGTCTTAAAAGTGTAATTGCATATCAAATGTGTAACGAGCAGTAGTCACATATCTTCTAGTAAGTTTTGATTGCAGTGACCTCCTCAATCTTTTTGGTTATACGGGAAGGGCAAGTTGTGTAAGCAAGTCCGCACAGGGACTTTATCAGTCAGATCCTGATCCTAGATCAATCCGTGTACACAGACTTCATCCGGTGCTTAATGGCTTAGTACCTTGGGTGAGCGACCCCGGTTGCACGTACAGCCACCCTTTAATGAGCAGCATTAGAACTCCTGGTGAAATAGTTCGTTCAGGGAAGTACTGCTACCTTGCCTATATCTCCCGCCAAGCAGTAATGTGAGCGTTACTGCAATCAGGTTTTGAAGAATAAGGGTGTTAGTGAAATTACAAGCGCTTATGTCTCAGTGGCGGCGCTCCGCAGATCTTTGCGATTTAAAGCTCTGAGAGGCGCTGTAACTGCCATAGACGGGTGTGTTGCTTACCAGACGCGCGACTTGTATGTCCTGTCAGTTAGCAACATAAAAAAACTAAAGGATTAAAAATCCATCAAGTTAGGAACTGAAAATTAAGTACAAACATTACATTGTATGGGCAATTAGGTCAAAGTGTCATTTTAATTTATATCTGTAGATTAAACTTGTGTTTACGACCATTCACCACGAGCGCAACAATCTCTAAGTAATTTTCCAAGTTGGTCCAATCGGGAATCGAACCCCGAACCTCTTTATCCAGTGCCCACAGTGCAAACCGTTGGGCCACTGAGGTCGTTATTATGCTGACAGTAATGAATAAGATAACTTTTGTTTCCCGTCTTGTGACTTTATTCAAAGAGTATTCTCTCTAAATTTATAGATTTTTGGTGACCGTCTATTTGGCGGATGGAGTTGGTTGATTCCAGTGTTTGTTGCACTCTCGACCTTCGGCGGGGTGAATGGAGTTCTATTCACATCAGCACGATTATTCGCCACTGGCGCACAAGAAGGCCATATGCCTGCCTTCTTTTCTCTCTTCCACGTAGAGAAACAAACACCTATACCATCGCTTATATTCACAGTAAGTTTTTATACATAGCGAAGTACTTTTAATTACCATTTTGTCCGAATTTAAAGCTAGTTATATAAAAATGAGTAAGTAAGTAAGAGTATTAAAAAACCGACCTCAAAAGTCACTCATCTCCTAGTTTGCCACCCTTAGAGGCGGAATATTTTCTTTAAATATAAATGGAACCACTCCTGAGGTACGCTCTTTCCAACAAAAAAAGAATCATCAAAATCGGTTCACAAACGCCGGCCGGAGTTATCGAGTAACACACGTAAAAAATACTACAAACAAACTCCTCTGAAGTCGGTTAACAATAAAGTCTTTTAATAATGCGGTCTTAAATGGTAATATTCTGCCCTGATAAGCCGAAAAGCGCTATGTCTATCGGAGTAAGTTTTGAGAAAATCGACTTTTTTTGTAAATTATATTTTCGCACTTTCAAAAATAAATCGTATTGAAGATGTTAAAACTTATTTATACGTATTTTTGACTAATAGATGTATGTATTGACATACCTAACTATAACGCCTTTCGGCTTAGCAGGGTAGTACTGTCTTAGTAGTAATAATAGCTCCTTGTGAAAGAGTTCGTCCAGGGAAAGTACTGTCACCTTACCTATTTCTGTCGCCAAGCAACAGTGAGAGCTAATCCTCTCAAATATTGGTAAGAGTGCTGATGAAATTACAGGCACTTGAGACTTATCAACTTATGTCTCAGGATGATGGGTGCTGTGGCAGTGCCCCTCAGATCTTTGCGATTTAAAGCTCTGTGTGGCACTGTAATTGCAATTGACGAGCGTGTCGTTTATTACCAGACACACGATATGTTCGGCCGTCTCAAGTGACGTCATTAAATAGAATGTTTTGATTCCTACTACGTAAATAATTCGTAAGCCTATATTCACAACTTTGTGGGAACAACGTTTTAATGTATCGAAAGGGCGGCTAAAATCAGCATAACACCTGCGATTGTAATGAATTGATTGCCTTTCACGAAAGGAATTGTTTTTCACGCTTTATGTTTTTACTGCCGAATATAATAAACCCACATAAAGAAAATTATTTATGAAAAATGTCGCTATTTTTGTGGCTTACGATAGAGTACGTAGAAGGCTTTGTGAACATTATTCATATTGTATTGTTTTTATATTATAATTTGTTGTGTAAGTTATAGAATTTAAAATTGTTTTCAGTGTTTCTTCTCGCTGCTCATGTTGACAACTAGCAACGTGTTCGACCTTATCAATTACTTTTCCCAAACGCTTTGGTTGTCGGTTGGCATTTCGATAGTGGGAATGCTATGGCTGCGGCGGATAAAACCAGACATACCGCGCCCGATCAAAGTCAACCTAATAATTCCATACACTTTCCTAATTGCCATCGCCTGTTTAGTCATCATTCCTGCCATACAACAGCCTAAGGATACTGCTATTGGCCTCGGAATACTCTTCTCAGGCGTGCCCGTGTACTATATTTGTGTTAAATGGCAGACTAAGCCAGACGGCTATCACGTCTTCTCAGCTTGCATATTACGGTTCCTACAAAAACTTTGTTCATGTATTTTCGTTGAGTCATCGGAAAAAATGTCAGACTAAAAATACATGAATTTAACTTGTATATTATGAAATGTTGACTATTTAATGGACCAATCTATAATTCGCTTTGACAGTAGTACATATTCGAATGTTATTAGTAGGTATATGTAATGTATCTATGTAATTGGTATGTAAATGAGCTTGTCAACGTTCCTTTTGTTACCCATATACTTTGTATGTGGGTAAAGCTAGAAAAATTGTATTTTGATATCATTTTTACAACTTCGAGATTTACAGAACTGTTTTTTTAAACTGTATACAAAAATTTGCTGTATAAGTTATTGTCTGAATAGTTTTTACAAAATTTATTATGACTGAATCATATTTTCAATAAGAAATGCACGAGATGCAAATCAAAATAACTTTTAAGCTTCCATGTTTATTTCATTAGGGTGCAATTTGATCGTTAGTATATAATACATAATTATTTATTACTTAACAACTATTCAGTATTCTTGAAAGATCTTATGAATGAGATGCTTGTTTCGTATAAATTTTATACGTTTTAGATCCTGCACAAATCATAATGATTATTACTTTATATTTATACTGTTTTGAAATGAGTGTTCGTATATATCACATACCAGGCTTCTTACTGTGAACTTAATCATGGTTTTTGGACCGTCAAAAAGAGGCCGCAATAGTCAACATTATCTTGTAGTAATTTATAGCAACTTGATGGTAAGGCACTATGTACGAACACCCCTTTGAACAGCCAAATCACTTAGGCCGACTCCGCATTTATTTTGGCAGCTTTATTCCAGTAATAAATGCGTCGTATGTTGACAGACGTTGGTACCACATGAATGTATATCATATATTTAGATCCGTCTTGAGAAATGTCGTTTGATATAATATGCTGATGGGAATAAAAATTTGTGTTCGCCGTAATGTGTAGACTTAGAGTCTACACATTACGGTGTATTTTTTAAGCGCGGACGACGCGCGTTTCGTGAGCGCGAGTTTACGGTTTAATAAAAACATATGAAAATGTTTATTGGTTACGTATGCGACTGAATCTCGTTTGAATAACGTTAACGCGCGTCATCTGCGCGTCCTGTCCGCGCGTAAAAAGTACGTCGTGTGCATAGGCTTTTAGCTTTAGAATAACTGTATCGTGATACGTACATAAACGTAGTTGCTTCTCAAACTTTGCTCTCTATACACATATTTATTGCAAATCTTAGTAATGTATAAAAAATCTTAATAGGTATTAAGTATATAGGTACATTATTATAACAATGTATATTCACAATCAATGCATTCCCATTTGCTGCTGTATGAGATCTTTAAGGTGATATTATCTTATTTTGTATAAATGTTAACTTTGATGCAGGTGTTTGACAAAGGTGTATTACAATAATTTTTATTTTATACAATTTACTGCAAACTTTGTAAACGTTGGACTGATTTATTACACTCTATGTGTTCTTTACCGCATTGTAAATGTTTACAAGTAGAATTATTTAAATCATCTTTTAACGAACTTAACGTCTTCTAATGACAATATTTCAGGGTCCAAAAGAACTTTGTTTGTTTACTTTCGACCTCTGTTGTTCTTAGTTTGAAACATTGGAATTCGAAACGTGAGCTTTGTATTGATGGACGAAGAAGTGTGCGAGCGAGTCTGGAATCTTACTGTACCTTATTATGGGACCTACTCAGTAATTTTTTCTTGGATAAGGCACATGTTGTAATAATGCCTGTTATTATTCTATTAAATAATTTACAGAGTAACAGTATGTTATTTTGTCTTTATATCCAAAGTCGTTAGAATACTGTATGACAAACAGGTGGATATACTAAATCTTAGAATGAGAAAAAACGTAAAGAAAGAACCAGTGATCCTAAATATTTCTCGTTAGACGACAAATCAGTGTAAAGGAAAACATCGTGACATTTGATGACAAATATCATTTTTAAATTACACCATTATAATATGTTATTATTTTATTAAAAGATCCGTTTAGTGTTTAGAACCTCTGTTTCTTTAAGTTTTTATGGTGCAAGTCTTCGAAATAGGTTATGATGGAAAGTTAGAAATTTTTCACTGAGTCTTTAGTGAACGCTGCTAGTAAAAAAATCTCAATAATTTTATTTATAAAGCAGCCATCTCAACGCGAATTTTGATTTACGGTATTTACGTAATTGCTTTGCTTACCAAATGACTGAATTAAATTGCTCCTGATGAAAGACTCAAATTGTTCTTCTGTATAATGCTAAAAAAACAAAGTATAGGATATATTTTATTTTTCCAATTCCCAAAGGTCACTTGCATAAGTATTCCTTGTACGTATATCCTTGTGTCTCTTTTTATTCTCATCAACAGACAGCCGTCATACTAAAGTCAACGTTGTATTGAATATCGTAATAGAAACCATTTTTCGTATGATGTGTGAGATAGTTTAGTAATTTATTAATTTTATAATCAATCATGCAGCATATAAAACTTTTATCTATCATAAAATCGTCCTGGCACATTCGCAACTTCAGTTTAAATTCATCGTTGCTAAGTCACCGGTGGTTCCCTGATGCTGAGTATCTGAAGCAGTTTAGCGGACCTGTAATGTATTCTACACCGGCTTTTGATAGGGCATATAAAATTGTTTATCATGGCCGATTGCCACCCGTTGAACGACGGCTTAAGGACATGTGGCTGAATTGGGGCCCTCAACACCCAGCCGCTCACGGCGTCCTACGCTTAATTCTTGAACTTGATGGGGAGATAGTAACCAAAGTAGACCCACATGTCGGTTTTCTGCACAGAGCCACAGAAAAATTAATGGAACACAAACATTATAACCAGAGTTTACCTTACATGGATCGCCTTGATTACGTGGCAAATACGGCTAACGAACAGACCTACTGTCTTGCCGTGGAGAAATTATTAAATATTACAGTTCCACCCAGAGCCCAGGCAATCAGAGTTTTGTGTACAGAAATGTCTCGTATTTGTAATCATATGTTGAATGTTGCGGGTACCGTTCTTGATGCTGGTGGAATCACACCTTTTTTTTGGTTTTGCGAGGAACGAGAGAAAATGTACGAAATGTATGAACGACTTTGTGGTGCTCGAGTTCACAATGCTTACTTACGACCTGGAGGTGTATCACAGGACATTCCTATTGGATTCTTGGATGATATGTACGAATTAATATATAAGATGGGAGAACGTTTAGATGAGACTGATGATATAGCAACGGGAAACAGACTTTATTATCAACGAACTGCAGGTATAGGCGTAGTAAGCGCTCACGATGCTATTAGCTTAGGTTTCACAGGGCCTATGTTGCGATGCACCGGTGTCAAATGGGATTTACGGATAGCTTTTCCTTATGACGGGTACGATTTGTACGAATTTGATTGTGTAGTAGGTACTTTTGGAGACTCTTACGATCGTCATCTTCTTCGTACGGAGGAGATGCGACAATCAATAAGAATATTAGAGCAAGTTATTAATACGATGCCTGAAGGGGAAATAAGAACCGATGATGCCAAGTGTTGTCTTCCGCCTAGAGCAGAAATGAAAATGTCAATGGAGTCGTTGATACATCACTTTAAGCTTTGCACAGAAGGATATCCAGTACCACCGGGTGCAACATATACTGCAACTGAGTGTCCTAAAGGAGAGTTGGGAGTTTACATGGTGTCCAATGGGAGTTCCATACCGTACCGTGTTCATGTGCGGGCTAGCTCACATACACACTTATTTGGTACACCGCTTTTAGGACGACGTGTTATGTTGGCTGATATATCTATAATTATCGCCAGTATAGACGTAGTATTTGGAGATGTGGACCGCTAATTGCTTCATAAGACATGTTTGTTAAATTAAGTAAGTAGTTGTATTCTCAGAATATAATATGCTTACATTGGGTTTTGCGCTTCGTGATTCATCCCAATTAAACTTGTCCACCTTAAGAAATATTTAGTCTACGCACACATAAGTAGTTTTTTAAATACTTAGGTTAAATATTTTGAGGCTATGTAAAGGTAGTAAGCATTTTTTTTAAATCTAAAAACATAGTTTCTTGTGAAAACGGAAATTACATATAGGTATCTAAGTAGGTAGACAGTCGTCATCGCTGTGGTTTCGACACAGTAAAGTAAGGCTCAACTCATACTGGCTCAGAGTCTTAGCGTCGTCGCGTCTTGTTTTTCAACTACAACGCATGGCGACGCGCGTCTTCGCGCGACGACTCTCGCGATAGCGCGCCCGGATCACAGTGTGGTCGGCATCTGACAACTCCGCCCTCCGCCTCAACGCCACAACCCTCGGAAACTATGTGAAATCCCTAACCTGCATTGGGCTAGCGTGGCAAACTATGGCCTAAACCCTCGCCTGGGTTGCGTTGAGATGCTCTAGCGACTGGACCGAAATATTTGTACCGGTCTAGTGACTCCGACGGGGCGGACGCCACGAAGTGGAAAGTTTTCTTCTTATTTAAGCGAGCTAGGCTCTTGTTGGTGAAGATATTAAACGCTTATTACACTAGACGATTTTCAAGGGTTCTAAGTTATGGTTAGGTGTGGCTTTGGGCACTGCTCTTTTTCACATACATATTATACATATAAGTCGCCCTAAATATGGTTCCTAACGCCCTAACTTTTATTACACCGTAACTTAAGTTAGGGTCCTGTGAAATCGATATTTTAATAAGCGTTCTATCAATCATCTCTGTTTAGCGCCCTAACTTTGACATTAACTTTTTTCCCTTGTTAATCTAAATAACTTCGTTTCGGTCGTTCTTTGTGGCTTCTACTGCTGACACTTGTGGTGACGTATTAGATGCACAAACGTCTTTCCGTTTCGGTTTTCTATTGTCTGCGCCTCGTTTCTTTTAAGGGGCAGGGGGGACAGGGTGGTAGGTAACTACTCGTAGACGTAAACAATAAATAATTACATCATTTATACAGAGTTTTTGATTAAAATAAGTAAAATATAACTTTTATAAATAATTATTTTTATATATAAAATTTTCAATTAGGATTATGCTAACATTATGGAAAAGTTTCTGGAAGAAGGATCAAGATTTAAAAGACAAATGGTATGGTAGCTTATAAAAAGAAATACCTACTAAGTCGTGTTCAAAATTCAACGTCACTCATAGGCGAGCCAACTAAGTGATTTAAGTGAAAATTAAAACATGAATAATGACTCCCGCCGCTCATACGTTACAACACATTAAAAAATATTTATTGAGAATACCATAGATTTAGGGTACCTATATACCAAATCTATGGAGAATATCGAAAACTAAATGAAGTCCTGGCTCAAAAAAAAACTTGTATTCAAGCCAAAAATCGTAATAAAATAAAAAAATGGCAACACTGGTTTACTGTTGACTTGAGAGATTCGCTCTGGACCTTTTGGAGGGAAAAGTGTAGTTTTTATTTTGACTTTTAATTATTTTGTGAAATCTAGTTAAAGTGGAATAGGATAGTGCTATTGCGCCTTAATCGAAGATTAAAACGCGAAATTATACGAACCTCGAACTAAAATACCCGTATCGACCCGTTTTAAGGAATCCCGAGTCAACCCAAGCACTCCGCCTCTAATTGCCTATCCTCTTTGTGGCGGCCATATTAACAGAAACATAATTAAACTTCATGTTTAGGCTGATGGCTTTGCCAAAGCCTTAATAAAAAAAAAAATGACTTGAGATTCGCTCTGGACCTTTTGGAGGGAAAAGTGTCGTTTCTATTTTGACTTTCAATTATTTTGTGAAATCTAGTTTAAAGTGGAATAGGATAGTGCTATTGTGCCTTAATCGAAGATTGAAACGCGAAATTATACGAATCTCGAACTAAAATACCCGTATCGTCCCGTTCTAAGGAATCCCGAGTCAATCCAAACACGCCGCCTCAAATTGCCTATCCTCTTTGTGGCGGCTATATTTACCAAAGAGAATTTAAGATATTTACAGAAACATAATTAAACGATTATAATAATTCATGTTTAGGCTGCTGGCTTTGCCAAAGCCTTAATAAAAAATAAATTAACTTTTTTTTAAAATTATTGCTGGCCATGGAAACGAAGTCCTTCAGCCGAAAACATAAACGTTTAATTATATTTCTGTAAATATGGCCACCACAAAGAGGATAGGCAATTTGAGGCGGCGTGCTTGTATTGACTCGGGATTCCTTAGAACGGGGCCGATACGGGTATTTTAGTTCGAGATTTATATAATTTCGCGTTTTAATCTCCGATTAAGGCACAATAGCACTATCCTATTCCACTTTAAACTAGATTTCACAAAATAATTGAAAGTCAAAATAAAAACGACACTTTTCCCTCCAAAAGGCCCAGAGCGAATCCAGAAATTCACTTGACAGGCAGTGTGGCCAACGTAGGCGTTTTTCGCCATTTAGGATGAAAAATCTTAAAGGCGACTGGTTGCCTACTAGGCTATTTTCCGCTTACAATCTTATGAATAAAAAATGAGCGTACATTAAAAAAAAGACGTGCACCCCACAAAAATATAAAAAGTCTATGACATTAAGAAACAAAAATTGTTTATGGTTTCGGCGGGAACTTCTCGCGAAATCTGATAATTTAAGTTTCAATATGCTTTTCAAAACAAAGTTTCTTGCAATTATTCTTTAGCAATCTATCTGAACGTTGCTTGTTGTGCTAATAAGTAGACTGTTTGACTTTAATAAAAGAAAATATAGAGGGCACAGCAGTTTTCTTCAATACTATACAAAAACATAGAAATTATAGCTATAGCCATATAGCTGTCAAAACCGAACGCTCTACAGTAGTGACATCTGGAGGGAGCAATAGGCAGTTATTTACCCCATTGTGTGAATTTATTTTTTATTTCATTCTACTTAGGTATTATTTTTTATTTTAATAAATTATTGATTTAAACTACAATTTTACTTTATTTATTTCTTTTAGTTATTTACTGCTGTGTTTCATTTGTTGTTTAGGCTACTGCTACCACAGCTAAAATTCGGCAACATCAGGCTACTAAGGTTAAAAAATGGCGACATTGGACCCAGCGTTATTGGCAACACTGTTGACAGGTGACGTATAACGTTGACAGTTTATCGACTGTTTAGCTCATTTATAGGATGGAAAAAGTAATATAAAGGAACATAGGAGGTGGGAGTTTTAGTTGGTGTTTGTTTTTCATTTAGGATTTGTTACAATTATTTTCTTTGTTCAATTTATTTTAAAACTAGACTGTATGTCCTTCTGAATGAAATCACCATGCTGAAATTCGAAATAGTGTCTTCTCGCACTGTGGAGGGAGCGGAAAGTGAAAAGAAGTTTGTTGCATACATGCTTCAAGTGAGACAGGATAACAAAGAATCCAGACTCTTCGATCCCGATCCAGCGAATGTTGAGAGAAGATATACACATTTTTTGGACCTTTATAACGGTTTGAAGAAGGACCACGCAAGTTTGCTCAGTGGCATCGCCTTTCCCAGAAAGGTATGTTGAAACATCGTCTACTTAACTTATTATGTATCTGATGGTATTACGAAAGAATGTAATTATTTTCCTGTTTTTTTCGTTTAAGTGGAATGGTTTATGCATAGCTAAATATCATTATTATTGTAGTAAATGTATCTACCTGTTTGGAGATAGATGAGTAGGTTGTTCTTTTGTTTGTAGTCTTGTGACTTGATGAGTCATGATGTATTTGTAAGTTTCCCTTCTATGAAATGTTATTTATTTTGCAAAGTTTGTTGAACTATTTCTGTGTTATGAATATGAATAACAGTGTAAACACAAAGAGCACACATAACAGCAAAGCCTTGACTGTTTTAGAAACCCCCATTTTGTATATTTTTAGACATATATTAGGGCAATAAAATATATAATTTCAAGTTTCCATGCTGAAGAATAAATAGCACAAAAATTAAAATGCTTGCCAGATTAATAATAATAATAACTTTATTGCAAAAAACAGAAATAGGTATAGCGATGTGCCTAACTCCCAAAATGTGACCCCCAAAATAACAATAATTGAGTCTATTACAATATATTTATAAAAAATCATTGGTAAAACACAATAAGGAGGTGGACATTTACTTTTGCTACATTAATAAATTAGTTACATTATCTAGTATAGTTCCAATGTTTATAAAAATTACAGCAAAAAATAGCCACCTCTGGTCCTAACAAAATCAGTCAAAGAAATATTTTTTAGTAGGACAAGGTGCACTATTATTAAAAACAAAGTCACAAAAGTAAAGATGACAGATAGTCACAATAGCCATTCACTAATCACCAGAACAAAAGAAATACAAGATAATGATAAATTAAGTTGTTTTGATTTAAATAAATTCAATTTCAGATCATGATGGGGAATTTTGAGCCTAACCTTATATCTAATAGATGTTCTGCATTTGAGTCATTACTGGACCTGATTGCGAATGAATCACGGCTAAGGGAGTCCCCTGCTGCTATTTCGTTTTTCCAGGACATTGAACTCAGTGAGGCACGAAGACTAATCGATGAAAACAAATTTGACCAAGCTCTGTCAGTTTTAGAAACTAGCTTTAGGTTATTAAATAAGGTATGAATATTATATCTTCTTTATTTCGATACCTCCAATGAACACTATGCCAACTTTTGGACCTGTTCTGTTTTTATTTTGGTTTTCGTTTCTTTTTTTACAAAATTCGTTTCTTTGTTTAAGTAAATATGGCTGTTTGCAAAAATAACAGAAAAAGACCAAAAAATAAAGCTGGCGTAGTGTTCATTGCCAGTATCGATTTGTTCACTATACACCATACTTGGTCTTCCTCTTTTTCATTTCCCTTCTATTCCCCTCAATTATCATTCTCACAAATTCGTCATTATTTATAACAAATTTCCAAACATTTTTCCCTTCTGCTCTCCATTGTATTGAAAAGTCTTCTTTCTTCCCTAACCCTTTTAAAATATTTTGATTTGATACCTTCTTAATCAATTTTGCTTTTCCTCTAGTACCACATTTCAAATGACTCCAATCTCTTTCTGTATTTCTATGTCTCATATCCATACAGTGTGGTACAAATATTACACCAATGAATATTATTACATTTGTAAGAGAAAACCACATACATATTTATTATTATTATTATTAACCACATAGATAAGCATTTTCTACAAATATTTTATAAAGCCATAATACTTAAAAATTGCTTTAAATTATGAAGTAAAAGTCTTAACAAGTTTTATAATTTATTTATTTTATTACTTAGTTATTTATATACATACTGGCTATCTGTTTCAGGTATACACAGACAGGTCTCGTGTCGTGCTAAGCGTTCTTTGCCGCATCGTGGCATGTGCTAGCGCAAGTAGTAATGCCCTCGCTGGTCCTGTCGAAAGATGGGCACAACTAGCACTAAGGAGATATGAAGCAGTTAGCGATTCGGATTTGCTCCTAATTTATGCCCCTTTGTTGCATAGTTGCATTTCTATATGGTGAGTGGTTTTATGTTGTAGAAGTGATTTAAGGTAAAACACCAGGGGCTTTTGGTTTTAGATTACAATTGTTCTTTGAATTAGTCCATCACACATCCACCCCTATGTTGTGGATATTCCCCAGATTTGCACGAAGCGTTTCGCTTCCACATTTGTATGGCGAGTGGCTAGGGAGTGGAATTCTCTGCCTGCAGACTTGTTCCCCGCATGCTATAACTTGGACCTATTCAAGGCGAGAGTGAGTAGGCATATTTAAGAGTGCAAGCTACATCCTCGACCTCAACGTCACTTTCCATCAGGTGAGATGGAGGTCAAATGCGCACTTATTTTTTACAAAAAAAAACACATACGTCATTATAATCCGAAAACCAGTTATCTGCAATTTTTGTAAAAAACTACTTAACTGTACTAAAACGCGATAGAATTGCACATGTAAAATGCAATATAGTTCCAGTAGAATATAAAATGTGGAATCACAAAATCTACAAATAAACATAGATGACCATGTATTTGTTAGAAATATTCATTACGGAAATTTCAATTGCATTTACTTCAAAGTAAATTTTTTGTGACATAATTGTTTCTCCCTGTGTAACGGCCACATGTGATGATTTCGGGATTTTAAAAAAATGAACATTCTTATTATGCAATATGAACATAGAGAACGTGGAACCCAACCTTATAACTAAAGTAATCAACAAATTTAGCGAAATTGAGTTATTAACAAATCTGGGATCAGCAAAACGTGATCTACATCCCTCTATAAGCGGTTTTTTAATATCTAATTTAGTTTCAGTTTTATTGTTAAGGATAATCAGCGTACTTGACTTATTTTACTAGTAAAAACAAACTTCAGGTGTCAATATCTTGAAAGTTACCGAAATGTAAATGCGTTGGTTACGACAAGGCAGCACAGAGGTCTGTTTAGTCTAAAACTTATCATATTTTGAATGGATTTCATGGATTCCATAAGTTAGATTTTCATTGTGATAGTTTTAATTATCTATTATATTACACTGTAAACAAAGGCAACATTGGATTAAGTAGAATTCACCACTAGATTACCTTTATCTGCAACCTTATTGCCCTTCCTTTGTGTTTACAACTGACTGATATACATATCAATGATCATATAATTATATTTTCAGGGAGACATTGGGGCGAGATAAGTCTAAATTAGTAGAAGAATTGAACAGTCTTCGTAAACGAGGTATGAGAGTTGATTCTGTGCCAAGTCTTATGGAATCAGTTGACAATTTGGACACTGCTATCTAGAAGTTTTTATTCGTTATAATAATTGAAAATGCACCTATATGGCAGTGAAACTAATTTTGTGCATGAAAGTTTTATTAATAGTTTTCATACACTGTCTGATTAAGTTCGAGAACTAAGCTATAACTATAAAGAGTGTTTTCCAAAAATTACTAAATAGATTAACAAATATTATACATTTTAAAAAGATTTTGAGTGATAAAAATTTATGCAAAGTCACAGCAATTTAAAAAAACAATATGTCTTGATAGATTAAAAAAAGCATCTTTTTAGCTTAATGTATGTCTCGGATGCCTCGTCGATGAATTAGAGGTACTCAATATATTTATACTGATATGTGTATTTTTGCAGTATTTACGGACCAAAGCTGCAATAAGTCATAATATTCACAATTATTTATTCAAATGATATTCTTTTTATCTCCATTTTACATGTAGTCTATGTGTAGCATTTTTTATTATTATTTTTACAAGTAATCATATATTAGATTTATGTACATATAATTTAAATCTCATTAGATATAAGTATAGTAACTTTTCACTTTTGAAAGTTAATTACAGTTCTTTAAGTGTTAAAATCGCACATGAAACCATATACTGTCGTTACTCAACAATTATGGGATTGAGAAAACACGTTTGAAAAATAAAAAAAGTACTGAATTGAACTTCATTTTTTTTTAAATTTTCAAATCGTGTTTTCTCAATTCCACCATTCTTGAGTTACGACAATATTTCTTTTCATTTGAGAAATATCAAAATGTCGTCTATGACATAAAATGACCTAATTTGGACTCAGTGTAAGCGTCATGAATAAACACAACACGTTTACGATAAACGATTAGACCAACACATTGAAACAATATAGTCAATTAGTTGCTATAAACAAATATGGTATTTTATAAAGGAAATTAGATATGATTTTATGGCTTTGGCGGACTCTTTGCTTATCATTGCTTTATAAATATGGTTAGAACTTATATTTCTGGGAATATGATTTAATTTCGCTCGCTTGCCGTGGCCAGTCAACCAGACGTGGTGAGGGATTTTACCCTTATGTACCTATCAATTCATACAAAGTGTCATGCTTCTACTTTTGTAGAGCTATGTAGTCGAATACTTTGCCGTGTTCTGTATTCACCGAACAATATAACCAGGTAACTTGTAAGTCACAATGAACAGGTATCTTCTAGGCGAGAGTGGTACCATCCCTGTTCACATCTGGGGCCCTATTCTCGAGTCCGTAGTTACGGAAGCTTTCCCACTATGGATGACTATATATATGTACATATATATCAAAGTCCGTCAACGAAAGACAGGCTCGTACAAAACTGTCAAACGTGCCCATTTGAAACTGTCAAATCGCGTTGTCATACATTGTTAGTTCTAGCTCCGATGGAAACTCAAGTCTGTGGGTCATCCGTAGTAGGAAAACGGCTACGGCAACGGATTTCGTGCTTCGAGAATAGGATTTACTTACCATCTAGTGACAGTGTAGCCAAATGTAAATTCTTGATAGTAACCAACCGGCTTATTTATTTTGCCTTTATACAGTGTGCCTAGACAGTTCTGAGAAAAAGAACGAAACGTCTACCTTGTGTGGTTATACAGGTCTACGGACTTATTTGTGAAATATTAACAACATCATAAACAACAATTTTTAGAGGTTGCTAGTATTTTGCAAATAACGCTGTATAAAAAGAAACTTAATGTTTGCTAATTAATACTCTTCTTCAATTCTATTAGTGTTTTGCGTATATCAAATAAAATTTTTGTCAATTTCTAGTGAGATATGTTAATGCAATGTTCACAGATATATATTATATTTAGTTTATGACGTATTATATAAGTCACAAAAGGCATTCCAATAGATGTTAAGATCACTATTTACTTTCTAATGTGAAACAAAAATTTAAATCCAATTACACTGCAAACTAAATATAAGCATGATTGAATAATCCGTTCATGGGCAGTATGGATCTCAAAAAACAACTACGGGCTTTACAGTGCAATGTCCAATTGCTTCGGGTCTAGTTGCCACCTACTGCTTCTCCGTAGAAATGTTTCAACAATGTAATGATAAATTAAATGACTTACACGCACTCATCATCACCATCATTTGTGAATGTTACATACACATATTTAAAATGTGCACACAAAGTACGGGTGATAACGACGGCCTTTTATGTGTATATACATTTTGTGTTTTTCTCCATACTACTGTCATAGCCGCTATTTCTTTTGTATGTAAAATAAAATGTTTTTATATTAATTATATTGAATCAACATAAGCACCAATTTAACTGCCTCGGTGGCTGAACGGTTGGGTATAATTTGTGGTTGTCTATGTGTGTGTCCATGGCACCCGCGATACAGGGTTTCCCTAGTGCGGGGCTATGAGTATGTTATTATTACTATACGGCTTTCGATCAAATATTATATAATTAATTGAAGTATATGACGAAATACTTTCATAAATTTCACATAGATGGCGCTACGATAAAAAAGTCGTTGAAAACCAAATGCAAAGATCCGTCAACAAGCACAGAAAATTCTTGAGGTCCGCTGGTTCGTACTGTGGGTTAGTTGGCATAGCATCTGACACCGTTTGCTAGGAGACGTCGGTTTGAATCCGACCGGATAGAAGGAATTTTTTCTAAGTGTTACTTTATTTTTCTAAGTGTTTGTTATAATTATGTATCTTTGGATTAATAGTTATAACAAACTACTTAAATAATGTCACAAAAAATAATGTAATATCAATTTAATAAAAAAAATAATGAAGTATACCGCACAAAGTAAAGTAATGACATTTTGATCTGCAATACTATTTAAGTTATGTCCATGAACGGGTTAAGAATTATCAAGAAATATTGACAACTTTGACGGCAATGGAGCCGTTAAAGTTGTTGAATTAAATTTTAAGCCTCGTCGTGTTAAGGAATATTTAAGAACTACTTTCCTTCCAACATGAACATTGATGTCAAAAGTCCGTAAAGTCAAGTCAAGGGGTCTAAATAGTCTAAATTGTTGCAGTAGCTGCAGGAGCTTCTTGTGAAAGAGTTCGTCCAGGGAAGTACTGCAACCTTACCTATTTCTGCCGCCAAGCAGTAATGTAAGCATTTCTGCGTTCCGGTTTTGAAGAATAAGACTTGATGAAATTACAGTCACACGAGACTTGTCAGCTTTTGTCTCAGGGGATTATGCGAATTTACTTTCGCCGTAGTCGTATTGGTACTTGACATAAAAATTTAAGCTGACATAATAATATATTATTAACATGGTTTATGTGCCGATGTAAGATTTATTGGCACTTAATAAGTTGGACGGACAATACTGTCCATTATTTATGTTGCCATATAAATTCTAGTACCCTATACAGGCTACTAGAATCTACCTAATAACTTTGAATGCATAGTATAGGCTACTAAAATCTCGTGACAAATGAGGAATTTGGAAAATCGTTTTTAAGGGTCTTAACATATATCCTATTACTGACTCTCGGCAATCTTCGGATTCCGACTGCAAATTTCTATGAATCGATTTGGTTGTTTTTTGTTGGAAAAGTTGCACAATAGTGCTGGATATTCTATCTCCAAAAGTAGGGGTGATCCAGTTTATTGGCTTTCACCCACTTTCCGTTTACCGGTTTAATAACTGTTTTTACTTGACACATAGATGAAATTCCAATGTTATGGTGCACAGTTGAGAGGAATTCCTCAATAGTGTACATCAGCTACCTTGTGTTTGGCTTCATAAGCAGAAATTTTGTCCATTTTTTTTATTGCATATTACTTTGGCAGACCTACACAGGCTGATGAGTTACTGGACCGTGTACTAGTGGAGCTAGAATTGATTTTCGAATTCATTGTTCGTGTTGTGCTGTCATGTAAAAAAATAGTTCTTTGAAATTCTACAACATGTCGAGGGATCGAATGTAATTTTCTCAATCATATTCACCTTGCATTCGTCGAACTAAACATCACAATATCGTTTTTTATTTATTTATTTAAAAAATATACACTGAGTTGATTGATTTGAATGTTGATTTTATTTGAACGCTCATTAATTTTTTCTAGTCTGTTAGAAGAATCCAATGATATTATACTTTATGCTCTTTGGAAGAATCCTTTATTTTCATAATCATGTTTCATTTTATACTGTATTATACTTATTATTGCATTCTCGTTAAAATTATCTATTCGGCAACTGTTGGAGCATAGATCATTTGCATAATACAAATATAAGAAAAATGTAATGTTACTTGTGATATTAATAGAGATGTTTCTCAATTATTTTTATAAACCTAAATGTAAAGTTACGCATAATGCTCAATTTACTTTGCCGCGAATTTTTATAACAATATTGTACATAGCATAATGAATTTTATGTCGATAGTGTAAGGTATATATAAGTATCTACAAACTAGTACTGCGGAAAGTCCCGAGACTGCGCGAATTTTTTTTAAATTTTGACGACATGCTGTCTCGCTGGCTTATCATCACGGGCATGACTTGTTCGTCCCGTCACTTGATGTTAAAAAAAAAGTGGTTCTAGTCCGGATGTTCTGGGAAGTGCCCGTGTGAAGATTACGTTTGTTCAACACTTTTCTGTACACTTATCTATTCAGAACTAAATGGTCGCTTAGGGCATCGACTGTACATTACACAATTTTTATTGACATGAAGTTCATTATATTATGAATATTAGCTTCCATTCCGTTCTGTGGCAATGTAAATTGAACCTAAAAGGAATTGAGGTTTAAATGCATGTTTTACAATTAACATTTACCTACCTTCCAACATATTTCTATATGTAAGTAAAATAACTTTTAGTTAAGTTTTGAGTAAGATGCATGTTTTGGAGTATTGTATGCTTGATATACAATCATTTGTTGCAAGAACGATCCACTTGGAATCTCGCCATGTATATTACATTTTAATCTGTGGCTAGACAGAATTATAGAACACTATAATAGGTATTTTCACAATTACCTATTTTTCCGACGACGCTTCGGCGTGGTTGCAATGGTCGTTGTCACGGGCTGACTGGTGATGCGACGTTACACCTCCATCTCGGCGGTGGAATCTTTATTAACCCTTCCTATGTTTTTCAAAATACCGCCACACTCAACACTAACAGTGTCCTTATTCTGGTTGAATACGTATTCTGGCAAACCGGAATACGGCTTCGATACAAATAGCGAAATAAAACATAGCGATGGTGGATGAAGATTCCACCGCTGAGATAGAGACGTAAAATCGCATCACCGGTCAGCCCGTTACCACGACTAGTGTAACTGAGCCAAAACGTCAAGGTAATAGGTAGGTGTGCAAATACCTATTAAATTATTTAAACGCGTTTAATTCCGTTTTTAAATTTCAGTGCAATTATTTTGTTCTCTGATATACAAATGGCCTTAATTAGTTTAAAAGGCAATGTTATTATCAAAAGCATAGTACCAACTTAGTACCTGATTATTACGAACATCAATGGGAGTGCTTTATAGGAAATTACATTATTTTTTCAAACAAACCAACGTTTACGGCTGACTGTCATTTAGTTTGTTTTGAAAAAAGAAAACAAATATAGATTTGTTTAAAAAAAAACATATTTATTTAAAAATACAAATATACGTTTGTTTTGAAAAAAGAAAGAAATATACGTTTGTTTTGAAAAAATAAACATTCCTACGTTTGTAATAAAGTTTTATTGAATATCAGGTGACACATTCACCACCATGATTCAATTCTTTTTTGTGAACTTACTCCACTGGTTTGTTATACTTATTTGTTCGTTCCGTGGCTAAGTTGGCATAGCGTCGGGCACGGTTTGCTAGAAGACGGTTCTAATCCAGCCGGATCGAAGGAGGTTCATAATAGATAATAGAACATTATAAGTATTAATAATTATAACAAAGTAGTGGAGTAATTTCACAAAAAAATTATTGATTAAGTACCACGGTGGTAAAATATCGTGATATTCAATAAACTTCATATTACATTTTAGCCTGATAAAAATAATTTAAAAACTTTTTCACATTTATTCGGGTGGGACGTAGACATGTCACCAATCACAAAAATGTATAAGTGAAGCTCATTCTTTTTAGAATTTCTGAATGTATGCGGATACTAAGGATGTATGTGTACTGGATCATCAAATTATACCCGAGAGCACTAAAGTGGAAAGGGGTAATAAAATAAATGTATTAAACTAGTGTTAGTATCTAATATCTCCATCTCCAGATCTGAATGTTTTAAATTGTTTTTCAATGTCCATTCTGGTAAACTTTACACCTAAGTAGCTTCATATAAAAATATTATGTTCTGCGTAATGTGCCATTGTTCAAAATATTACTCTATTAATATTATTCCGACAAAAATATTCAAATGCTTTAATTTTATTTAACCAACATTTAAATTACGCTGCGCGCTGAAATCTCGATTTAATTATTTACAGAATTGCAGCTAATGTTATTATAAAAGACATATTCGTTTAGAAATAAAGTGACTGATTTTTAGTATACTTGCAGCTCTATGTAATGTTAAATCACAATATATTTCATATACTAACTATTGGCGGCGCATTTTTATTTATTCGAAAACAATAACGTCTTCGTTTTAAGTTCTTCTTCAAAACCTTAAAAAGAGCAAACTTCCGCGCTGGTCTGTGACTGACTCTGTTTGTCTCAACAATTAAGGGAATTTGAAAGTACCTACGCCGTTTGATATTTTAACTTATCGTGTCGATGGCATACACTATACCTTGCCTTTCATTCAAATTTCGTTGAATTCAGCCAAACCGATGGTGTCACTTGTGGCCGCCATGATATCCTTAAATGGCAGGTGTTAGGGCACGCCGGTCACGATGGGAGGTGAGTCATCGTTTGAATCGCCCTGCATAAACAATCCAGGGATCAAATCCCGTTATACTCAATATACAATGTCAAGTATGAAGCTTCATTCGCATCATGCATTTTTTAAATGGGTCGAGTATTACTTATTTGACTAATTGTGACGGACAGAATGTCGAACGAGAATGAGAGTAGATCCACAGATTAGAACCATCCGAAAATCCCCATCTGAACAAATTGTTCTTACTTCTGGTTCGAAACCTATTTAAAGATCGGCCATGGTAACTCGTGTCCAGGAGGAAGAGTCGGGACAGAACAGTCCGATCGCTCTTTCGAGCCAAAGGTTGCACCTCAAAGTAGAGCTCCTTGTGAAAGAGTTCGTCCAGACAAGTACTGCTGCCTTACCTATTGTGAAGTGATTATGAATAGGGTGCCGACTGTTAATAGCCATTTTGGCTCTTTCGCAAGAGACCGCTACAGTTCTGCGGATGTCTGGTGGAGATTAGCCTGTTTGTGAATACGGTTCAATTTGTATTGCGGCGGAACGGAATGGAAGCGAATTTTTGTAACGATATTGTACATAGCACATCGCATAATGAACGTTATGGTCAATTGTGTAACGTACAAACTAGATACGAGCCAAAATCTTCCGCGGAATGCATGAGCATTCTCGAGCATGCGCTTGACCATAAAGTTCATTATGCTATGTACAATACCGTTACAAAAATTCTCTTCCACTCCGTTCAGCCGCAATATAAATTGAGCCATAAGCGGAACGTTATTTAGTAAAAATACCCGAAATAATGCCGTATTTCTTCAAAATTCTGATCGGTTGTTTTACTTTTTTATTTTTGGTCTTCTTTAAAAATAAAATTGTTACATATTACTTGCAATTTGCATTTTTAGTTAGCTCGATTGCCCGTTCAGGCAAACTTAAAAAATTCTGTAAATGCACTTATTCATGTTTAGAAAAATAAAGTAATGTTTCCTGTAAATATAAATTGCTATCTTAAGCACTAAAGGCCCCGTCATGTCCCATTGATTTTTTCCACCCTGTATACTCGTAGTAAAACATAGTTTCGTTAAACAGTTGCGCAACTCCAGTACCGGCTGACACGAACAACCTGTGCTACAATAAACTCACAAACTGATGTCATAAACGAGCAATCAATTTACTAAATGGAATGAGGATTCACCAAAACAATTTACCCTTCATAAAGGTAAATGAAGTCGGCTTGGTTTCCATGTAATCATGAGAGTAATACCGGCAAAGTGTGGGTCGTACAGTTAGATTGCGTCTATCGACAGCATATGGCTTGTGCTATCACTGAGCCCATGTTTATTAATTAATGAAGCTATTTACCTACAGGCTGATCGTTTGGTTTTCGTGTATGTTGTGGGTGCACTTGTTGTTAATTTTATAAATTACGTTTTTTAGTAAGTTAGTGGAACCGATGCTAGACAGTGCATCAGTTATGAATGTTTTTGAACTATACTACCAAAAATAAAGAAACGCTAATTTTTCACTTCCAAATTATATCTTAAATATAATTTTATAAACACCGAAGGACGGCTTCAATTCTATATTAAAATTTGTAAGTGAAGGTGCGTGGGACAACGCGCGCTATGCAACGTGAATGCACCACAAGTTTATTTTGATCGAAATGCAAGACGTCAGTTCAATTTTGACAGCTGGCGGCCATCATTATTCGCCATTATTGGGGTGCGAAATAATCTTTTCCATCCTCGAAATAATACGGTGAGAACAAATTTAAAAAAAATCCAATTCTTATTTGTGGACCACGTTTTTTACAATTATATTTGAATGTGGTATTTAATAATAATACTTTACTTCAGAAAAAGTTACCATAATTTGTTAGTAAGACTTAGCAACTATGTTGGTAGGTACTTCTTTAAATTACATTACATTTGAAATTACATTACATAATATGCAATTACTTAATTTAATTACACCTATGACTCTTTGTATTAGATGCCATAGCAAGGGACTATCGAACTGGTTCACGAGTGTTATCAGTATGCTGTTCCGGTCACCACCACGCACACGGTGAAGAAAAGAAGCGGCTTTCTTTCGCATTATAGTGGGAAAATCACCAGTGCGCGCCTCCGTGAACATTCCTGACGCGCTGCAGTGGCGTGGTAGCAGCAACAGCATCCTGAATGCATTGTTATACTGTATACGCAGGGCGTTCTAAGCTCGTTTACTGACACCACAGACTGCTGGAGTAAAATGACGTTCAATAAGCCTTATACAGTGTTATTTTCACACTTTCTGTGCATCGACTAAATCTGCCAGTCAGCATATTACTCCTCATTGCCAACGCCTTGTGCTCTCTTTCCACGTCCAGATCATCCTTTAGATCATCTGTGATCATATCACCAAGGTATCTAAACCTGTCAACTACTCGCTACGCAATACCACCCAGCACAATCGGAGGCACATTTATCGGGTTATATATTTTCCATTTGATAATTAGCAACTCACTCTTTTTAGAGTTGTACTTTAGGCCGTGCGCTGCTATATACCTTTCACATGTGCCCACTAACTTTACAACCGAGTCAATTGAATGATTCAGTAGTACATGCCATCAGCATAGCTTGTTGTTAACGCAGATTTCGTCAATATGGCACTCGACATGCATGCCACTAAGTTTCTCAATCAATCAATTAATATACAGGTTAAAAGTCCTGGCGATATCAGCCCACCCACCCTGTGTCACACCACACTCAAGTTTATAGTCATCTAACAGAACGTCGACCCATCTCACCCGGTTCACTTCATTTTGGAACCAAAATGCATTCCGCCGGCATATAAGCATCTCTTAGCTATTTCTTCCAGAGTATTTCATAATTGACCAAGTCAAAAGCTTTTGATAAATCGAGGAAACGTGCATATACCGGGTTTTTTCTCTTTATGTAGCACTTGACAGTCTACTTAAGAGAGAAAATGGCACTTTCAGTTGAAAGTCCAGGCCTAAACCCAAACTATGCGGCGTGACAAATTTAAGAGTGTGGCGACTTCTGTGGTTATTTTGTGTTTTGGTGTTATTTTACGCATCTAAACAAAACATAACCGTAAATGAATTACAGAACCTTTATTGGAAAATTTAAAGTGTTTATTACTGGAGCACATTTAGCTGTTTATCCAATCATGGACATTTTTGTCCATAATCGGATTTTATCATTAAAGAGCTTTAGTTGTGTTTACCGTTTGTTTACCGTTTATAAAGCCAGACTTTTAATTTAGTTTATAGCTTGTAACATTATTTTAAGTCTACACGGTAATGGAAACAATGTCTGTCACTGGTCGTCCATTACTGGATTTGATTTTATTAGACATGGCTCTGAAGCGAATGACCATCCATTGTTACCAGTAACAAATAGGTCACATGAAAAAAAGAAATCACACCATTCGTTTACAAATAGTTTTAAGTACCATGCAAGATGTATTTTTTAATATTGAATTTCTTAAATTTAGCTAAATAGATTGATCGTTCATGTTTAGGTGTCCATGATTGGAAACCGTACTGTAATGTCTAGATATCTATCATCATCATCATCGACCCATGTATACGTCCGACTGATGGGCCAGAGTCGCATCTCGGGCAACGGTTCAGGTCATGGTCCGCCACACTGGCTATAGGGGGTTGGGTACTTCACACGTTTTTCGTAGGTTGTGAACCTTCTTCGACGTACAGGTTTCGTCATGATATTTTCCTTCACCGAAAATCCCATAGTAAGTTCCAAATTAAATTTCGCACATAAAGTCCGAGAAACTCAAGAGGTGCGCGTCTGGAGTCGAACCCATCCATGGTCTCGGTTACAAGTATGTAAGGCGGCAGGTCAAACCATTAGGCTAGCACGCTTTCATCTAACAATATTCAATAATTTTATTACTGTCCAAAAGTACAATAGAATCGTTTTAAGTACATTTATGGGCCCAGTAGAGCATGGCAATAATTGAGAGGCAGTTTACTATACATATATCCACATAAACATGTCAGCTCCATTAGGAAAATAATATATCAAGAAAACTTAATGAAATCCAGACAAAAAAATCAAAATACTACCTAACCAAAATTCTATAATAGTAAATAAGAAACCTTGTTAACTCACCTACCTCCACTTAAACCACACCTAAACCACCACCACCACCACTAACCAACCACACATGAACTTACTTACCAACCACTCTCCCAACTGCGCTACGCAACGAATCAGCAAATCTCGCGATTGTTGCCGATCATCGTTTTTTGATTTAAACGGCTTTTTTTCCGTACGCCATATGTGACAAAAGTGCGAAAGTTTTTTCGTCATTAGTGAAATTTTGTGCATAGGAAGCAAGTCCCACTCTATATATTTCTAAATACTGTCAGTCATGGGGTGAGTTTTAGGACTTCTTGCCGCTATCTCTAAAAATTCGGGAAGACAAAGTAAAGGTTGTTGTTTATGCTTCTTACAATTAGGTGACAACTACAAGCACAGAATAATAAATACAGTAGAAGTGTCACGCTCAACAGTATGACGTGGAACTCTGCATAGTGTTGCCACACTATGCAGAGTAAGAGTATCTCTTATTAGTTTGTGGGTCCACGTACTTGAAGCTCAGTTCGCCATTTTCGCTCTGTAGGTACGCTATGGTCGCCAATTATCTCGCGCAAAACCTCATAAAAATGGGAAAATGCCTCACTCTGCTACTTAGGATAGCAAAAATGATAGTCGCACCTGTAATATTATCCCCGGTGCTGTTTCATATCAGCGTTAAGTCTTCTTATTATTCCATTTTAATAAATTTTCCTTTTTTATGTTATCGTTGTACATTTTTTGTTCTACGAAAAAGAAAATAAACCTGCAATATGGTTGGCGTTAATCGTCACTAAAACGAAAAATAAACTTCGTCTTTCAGTTATTGCCGCTAGATGGCGGCACATTAATTGAAATTTCAATTGTAAAATCAAAACTTAACTTGCAATAATACTTATACCTTAGCACTTATACTATTGAACTTTCAACGATATGTCAACTGGATAAAGTTTAAATTATATTAACAATCTTGAATTTGTTCAGTCTTTTTAAATTAGAAACTATTACCGATCATTATCACGATTTCATAATGTTTACACATTATGATATTGTGAGTTTTGGCGACAGCGGTTCTGGTAGGTACTTCCATTGTTTTTTCTTCCATGACTACAAGTACCAACAATTGATACGCTGCTTGGGGGAAGAATGTGTTACTGACGTAGTTTTACAAGGGCTCGGGAATGTCGGTGTCAAAAATTTCTCGAGAGTCTTGATTATTTTTTGTCATTTTCGATGTTATCAGTCTCGAGAATATCAAGGCTTGAAACTTAACACAATCAAACGTGTTAATAAAATCTACTAAGCCCATTGACCAGGTCAATGACTAAGCCAAACATTTTTTAATTCTGGTTACATAGCCATGGCTAGCACGGTAGAGTAGAAATTACTTTAACATGTGAAGATTTTAATCTTGTCTTTAGACAGATAGTAATAAAATCAAGTCTTTTCTACCTGAACCACACATGTTAAACGCCATTTGTTAAAAAGAAAAAAAAAAAAAAGAAAAAAAAATATTTTCAAAATAATTTCAAATTATTATTTGAAATTATAAAATAAAAGACCTTGATTTGAATGTCATATTTTGACTGCCTTAATGTCTAGCCTACAAATATGGAAACCTACTTTTGAAATAGTCTCGAAAGTCTCGCTTTTCCCAAAACTTTCGAGTCTCGACTTTTTTTGCCGGGGCGAAAATGCAAAGAGATTGAAAGCCCTACTCGCTACTCAAAAGCCTGTAAATATTTAAAAAAAAAATGGTTTTACACAAAATAATGAATCAATACGTTTTTAATTGTTTTTCAGTCTTGTGAACTCAGTTCGGTTTTTGTGCTCTTCCTTTTTCGAAGCATCGAGATGCGACCATTCAAAGTTCAGCAAAATTTGCTGTAACTCATCTGGGTAATTTTCAGTTTACTTTTATCTAAGTACCTACCTAATTTCGGTGGCAATTTTTCTTTAAGAATTCGAGTAAGGTTAGGTTACTATACTCTAATATTAAGTAACTTCGCACATGAAATCGAATACTGTCATAAGTCAAAATTGTGGAATTGAGATAACACAAAAAGATCAATTATTGAGAATAATACTATTATTTTTGCTTAAACATAATGTTTAATATCCATTTATAAACGAGAATAATGTGATTGGTTTCATTAGTTTTTTTTTAATTTTCAAAACGTGTTTTCTCAATTCCACAATTTTGTGTTACGACCGTGGTTTCTTTCGCATGATAAAATTCTACAATATTTAAATAATTAAAATTGCCACCGGAATTTGGTAGAGAATACTTACCTGAAAATTACCCATCTCTCATGACTGCCAAAGTCCCTAAGACCTTTTCAATGTAACGACAACATTAAACAGAAAATGAAAGTCATTAGAAGAAGCAGCCAAAAATACCGTATGTTAACTGGACGGTTTATTTGTTCTCCCAATATGTATGTTGTTGCTAGAGTACCTACTTTAAGAACCTAAACTATCTTTACTGTCTGTTTAGAACACTAACACAATGACTCTGTAATTATTAATCAATTGTCTACCAATCCTAAGGTTGAGTAAGTGGGAGTTGCACGCAAACGGGGAACCCTCAAATCACCTAATTGATTCGCGTGGCGTGTCTCCTCAGAGACGCGGCCATTGGAAGCCCAGGGGACATGTTCGCGATTCACTTCAACCCTGTTAATATAGCGAGTGATCAGGAGACGTTTACTTGCACGCAATGTTTGACTTATTAGCCAATCATTCTGAAATAAGGGTCGTGAATGTCTATTTTCTACGCTTATTTTTCAAATACGCTAAGTAATACTTGCGATACGAAAATCATTACAAGTTTTAAAAACGTAGTCAACAAAATTACGTGACATAGAAAATAGATAGATAAATTCTTTATTCGCTTCCATGGCAAAAACATACAACAAATACATGGTACAGACAGCTTAAATAGAACATAGTAATTACTTTTAACAAATGTCTCTTTCTGTAAGTCATGGCAGTGGAAAAGCGTTAAAAAAATCTGCACTAACAAAATCTTTATCTTGTCACAAAGAGACATCTAAGGAGTCTCTACTCCTTAGAAGTTTTCAAGAAACAAGTTTGTTTCGAGCGCATGCTGTAACCGCCATAAATCAGCCGTTCAGAATTTACGAGGGCCCTCCGCAAATCGGTTTATATTTTCGATAAATAAAATTGGCGCGGATTTTGCTAGGTAAGCAGAGGCTGTTAGGAACGCGTCGCCGCCCGGCGCCCGGTGCCACCAGATGCCGCGCGCACATAAACCCGACTACCCTCGCGTTTTCTTGCTGACAATTTTTTCCTTCTCCGGTCATTACGCAGCTGGGCCCGAGACAAAACGGCGAATCGTTTAAGCCCTCCTCGGAGACCGTCCAATTTTATTGTGTGTACCTAGTCGAAATTGATATGCCACGCGAGTGGCGTATGTCGTTGGTTCTGCCATGTGACGGACATCACCACACACCACCCCATTTGCTGCCTCTCGACTGTTGCTCCTAAGGATTATTTAAAGCCTATAATTTCTTTTATTTTGTATCAATATAATATACAAGGCAATCCCTAATTACAAATAATTGTGTATAATCGAGATGATATCTTCCAAGAACGCAGATAGGTAAATAAGTTTGATAAATTCTACCATTTCTTCCTTTGCGCTGAAAACATTAAAAACTTTTTGCGTTATCAATCTATATAGGCTGTATTAAAAATGACAGGTAAAGGTTGTTCTGTCTGTCACTGTCTTATGACCAAAGAGAACGTCATGACTCATGTTAACAAGATTTTTCTATTCTATGGCGAAAAGATTGGCTACCAGATGAGGTCAATTTAAATTTACGGCAAATTGTTAAAGTGATGTTGTACTTTCTAACTGCTTGCAAATAAAATGCTTTTCGTGGCCGACAACTATGTCTGAGGTGAAATCTGAGTGCGACGCAAGTATTATAATAGGGTTGCTGGTGGTGTTCGCGTTGCCGCTAACGCTACTTGTGCCAGGGTTCTCGGTGTGGAATGTGGTGCCAAAGTTGCGAGTGACAAGGTTCCACATCTTTGCCCAACAACTGGACTGGTGTGAACTTAATGCTGTTATCATTGCTCTTCTGGCATTATTCTTCTGTCTCTATCTGGAAATTCGAAAGCGGAAGTAAGTGCTCTTATATAAAGCGTATCCATTAGGTCCTTTAATTTTTTTAAAGGAAATAATGATACTTATATCATATTTATCGACTTTATGACACTTTAACAATAACCAATCTATACAATAATATGTTATTATCATCTCGCTTATTAGGTTGGATGATTTGGTAGAGAGCGTCCTAATGGTAAATCAAGCGACGGACAAGACAATGGACGTGGAACGGGAACGGCAGACGGCTGCAGTCCGCGTATGTGTTGACCTTTTGGACGCATCAGGTGAGCACTACGAGAATCTTCTCCTACTTCAAGGCGATCTACGTCACCGCAAGCAACGCCCCCCTTCTATTCAACCCAGTGGCTCCGATATGTAAACCTTTGGCAAAGGTTTGTTGGTTTTATCGATCTCGGAAAGCTCAATGTTTTAAGTTTCAATCACATATCATAAAAAAAATATTGTAATATTATTTTGTGACGTCATAATTTGTCAATATAACTTTTTTATTTATTGAATAAAAATATTTTCCACAATTATTACACTTGGATTTCCTAGTAACTAATATTGAATTAGTTAGTATTTGTTTTGGCATAGCTTTGTGGTTATGTTTTGTATTGGATCAAGTTAATATAATATAGTATTATATTGCAATTGTGTTAGGCAAATGGTTGCAGGCGGAAATAACTGCACAAACAAGAGGGGGTGCCTTGGAGACTTTTCCATTGTTATTCAACTCTAGTGGTAGAAGTGTTCATTAGAGCAAACGCTCGTAGTTCCCGAGAGACGCTGTTGACGCGAAAAAACCAATCTGGAGCTGGCAATTATAGCAAATGACCTAATTAGACTCCCGTGCTCGGTGTTGCTTGCCGCCGTAAGATTTTTCACCTCCCAGTGGCCACTTTGCGGTGCCTGATGAGAATTGCCGTTTAATAAGTGGCGAACCGTACTTTTTCTCCTGACCGTTTAAAATTATTATTTATCCTTAGTTTTCACATAGGGAAACAAAATGAATAAATTGGGCGTTGGCCAATTTGTTGTAGTAACATTGTCGCCTCAATAATAATAAACGTTTGTACCTACGGCTATTAATTATTTGCTTACATAAAGATCGGAAATTAAACTTAAACTAAATTAGACTCTATTTTTGTACAAGTAATATGCGGGTTCAGCTATGTTTCCGGTCTTAAGCTCTGAATAGATTACACTTGAGTAGCTATTTGCCGCGGACCATTAAAAGTTAGTTTCAATTTGTCGTGCGATCTTCGACAAGTCGCAACTTCTGGTTTACGGCGGTGGAAGCCCGCTTTACGAGGGCCGCGATCGTTAATTCGCGACTAAATAAATTTCAACGGCGTCCGCCTCCTGCATCGCACTGCAAGTTTGTCGTCAGTGACTTGTTTAAAACACCTCTTGATGTTGAGCAGATTCAACCATTATAGACAGTTTATTACGGAGTATCCTTAATGCCGACCTGCTATATTTAGTTCCGGCTACAATGACATCATTAATTAATAACTGGTAATACCACATTATTTCATACACCAAACTCTTGTTCATTTTAGAAAAAGTGTAGGTGTATATGTTGGTATAATGTTATACATACGAAAAGAACAATTTATTGTTTACGATTTCCTGTAGAATAGGAGAGATAAATGTCTTACTGAGACGCGTTTCTCATGTCGCCTCGCGGATCCGTTTGCGGAGTAAACGCTTTCTCTATTTTCATTAGACGGATCCACCGGAGGATCAGCCGCGCACAAAAATAAATAAAACTGTTATTGAGATAAGCATCTGCGCGCGAGGCTTTCTGCTAAGTCCCGCTGTGTCTCGCTGAGCAATGTACCGAGATATGTTCGGATTACCCCAGCCGCAGTTCCGAGTTTTCCTTCATGTCTACTGCTGGAATTTCGCAGCTGAAATAACTCTATATGAAAAAATATTTTTTGGCCTTAGTTTGGTAGTCTAAATAAGCCAAGTTTCTAAGGTTTTTAAATAGGTATTTAAATGTGTTCTTAGAGCATTGTATTCTTTTAAGTTTCGTATTCGTTCCACTGCCTACAATTCGGGACTAAAAGTTTTATTAATCATTGTCGATGACTCGGAGACGTGGAGCTTGGATTAGAGGTGCAGGCGAGCTTATTGCTACGGGAAATTGGCCGCGCACCACACCTGCGGTGGCACCTGCCCACCCGGATTAATTTCTCATCACGCCGCCCGCCTTGCTGAGAATAATGAACACGACATCCTTGGAGAAAAATGCCACTAAGCCCAGAGATGTCGCCCGCTTGATTAATAAGCCCCGCTCTGGCCCGACCCTGTTTCACAGCGCGGCGCCTTACTATGCTGAAATTTAACAAAAAATTGTTGTAACGAGTTACTTACTCCTTATAAAAACGTTAAGTAGGAAAAGTTGGAAAATGTTTTCTCCTTAAAATTATGTTACTTTGCTTATTACTTAAATTAAAGTAAGAATAAAGATTCTCTTGTATTGTTTTGTTGCATTTAAGACATTGTTTCTTTAACAAGTTCGTGACGCAGATGTTTCGGCAATTTCACGGGCCACATCCCTGCTTCTTACATGAGACATATTTTCAACCTTAAATTAACGTATAATTTAACTCTCTGTTTCATACCTTACTTACTTGCCTTAATTTTTACGGAGCTTAATTACTGCTTACAATGTAGTGAATGTTTATGTCGATTGTCGATGGCTTGATACACCAGACCATAATTGCTAATTAGAAAGTGGCTTTAAAGTTACCAGTAACAGCAATTTCTCTGCTAGATTTAATTCATCGTCACGTCATTCACATAATCCTGCAGCTTTCAACTGTTGCCGAGCAATTTTGGCGTCATTAAATTACCGAAATTTGATTTTAAACGGAGACATTGTGACCACAATGTCACGACACCGGTAGACCGTTTGTTGCGGCGGAAAGATGGCCGCGAGCATCTGTCGGTTTGTCGCTTTTTCTTTAAATAACTCTACTTTGATACAATTATTTGCTATGTCATTAATACTGTGGTTGGTGGTTACAGCCGCGAACACTTTCGATGTAACCGATGCCGCCTTGAGGTATGTAAATTGGCAATTCTGACAACCGACCAGAGAAGAAAGGGCGCTGCTGACGACTTTCACACATTGAGGAATTATAGCTTTACTTGTAGTATTTGAAGTGAAATTTTGTTTTATGTGAAAGGTGGTGTAATTTGTTAAAGGCATGTTCAAATCTAATTACGAATGAACACGTATAGCCGTTTAAAAAACGTATGCTTTTTTTAAAGTAATTTTTTATACTAATAAATAATGTTGTGGTTCTTGTATTTATTTTATTTGCACCCTTGATGGAATAAGTCTACATTTGCAAAAAATGAGAACTTTTCAAGAGAAAGAGGGACTTTTTATGCTTATACGTGGAGCGCACTATAAGTTTCCGGAATGAATAAGAAAAAAATACTATAAATGGTCAGAAATGAATTTTTGTTTCTCAAAATATTCTCCGTTAGCGTTAATGCACTTTTTCATACGAATGAACCAATTTTGAAAACTTTTATGCCACTTCTCTGTGACAATCTCTGAAACATATTTTTCATACTCTTCGGCAGCCTCTTCAGGTGATGAAAATCGTTGACCGCGTAACTGGTTCTTCATGTTTGGAAATAAATAAAAGTCACAAGGTGCCAGGTCTGGACTGTATACGGGATGGCTCATAAGGTAACGTTGTTCATCTTCAAAAATTCATTTGTCTATCTGGCCGTGTGAGAACTGGCATTATCGTGGTGCAAGATGATACGGCGTTTACGGTTATTTTTACTGAGATTGTCAATAACTTCCGGCAAACAAATGGTCGTGTACCAATCACTATTTATGGTACAACGATTCTCCAAAGCAACAGTAGCCACGTGTCCAGTTTTATTCAAAAAAGAAGGAATTATTCGCTTAGAGGCACTTTGCACGCGCGCCACTTTGGTTGGTTGCGGCTCATCTCGAAAGACTCATACGCTCGATTGCGTCTTTGTTTTGTGATCGTAACTATAAATCCATGTTTTGTCACCTGTTACTATGTCCCACACCAAATTTAACGCGCCTTCGTTGAATCTGATTAGCATGGCATTGCACCAAATGACGCGATCCGTTTTTTGAGTCTCAGTCAAATTGTGTGGACCCACCGAGAGCACAGCTTTTTCCACCCAAATGTTTGTGTAGTATTGATTGTGTTTGACTCATGCGTATGCCTAAAAATGCCCAAATCTCATGGTATGCCACATGTGATCATACGGCGCACAGCATCGATATTTTTGTTGTTCACAGCAGTGGACGGACGACGATCACGAAATTCGTCACTGAGATTCCCTTGAGCGCGTTTGATTTAAGCAAACTTGCTATAAATAGTTGTCTTGCATGGTGCTTTATCGCCAAAAGCAGTTGAGAAGCCGAGCGAAGGTCCGCAGAGCTGTTAAATTACACTTAAATCGTAGAAAATCATAGTACGAAAATTTTCACGAGTTAA